GTACTTTATGTGGGACATATGCGCATGCAGTGGTTTAGCGATTCAATTCAAAATGGCTGACTGGCAGCCATCTTGTTTTTTGAAAATGTCGTATTTTGGACATGCTTTGTCAGTTTTCATTCAAATTTGGTACATAGATTATACATGTTAGGATACATATCCATGACAATTTCTTTCGCAATTGGATCAAAGATGGCCGACTGGCAGGCATCTTGTTTGTTTTTTTAAATGTCGTATCTTGGACATGCTTTTTCAGTTTTTATTCAAATTTGGCACATACCTTATTACATGTTAGGATACATGTCCGTGACAATTTATTTCAAAATCTGATCAAGGATGGCTGATTGACAGCCATCTGAACTTTTGGCCTTACTACTATATTTCCAAGATTTATGTACCATTTTCATTCATATTTGGCACATACATTATACATGTCATTTTGTTTCATAATCAGATCAAGGATGCCCGAATAATGACTGTTTTTATGTATCAATTTCATTGATATTTAGTATGTCATAAATGGATACATGTACATGTCAATTCAATTTGCAATTTGATCAAATATGGCTGACTGGCGGCCATCTTGTTTGTTTAAAATGTGATAACTTGGACATGCTTTCACTTGTGATCTATGTTTTTCTTTGCTATGTCTTAAACCGGTGGGGTCGTCACGCAACACATGTTCAAATTTGCTGCAAATAAACAATCTGTTGTATACGCCACTTGGGACTCAACTTTCAAGGACACACTTGCGACAACCCCTCCACTTTAATATGACAAGCACGAAGAGAACTTTCAAAAATTTAACAGGGACTGTGTCATTTTCAATGACTCGTTTTTTGGTTATTCACATTTACTTGTACTTTTTTTTTAGTGCATTATGAACCACAAGCTGATATGAACACTGTTCATCATATGATACTCTATGGATGTGAAGCTCCATATGCCGCTCTAGAGAACTGGTAAGATTCAAATCTCAACCATATGTCATTCTGGAGAACTGGTAAGATTCAAATCTCACCCTATGCCATTCTGGAGAACTGGTAAGATTCAAATCTCAACCATATCCCATTCTGGAGAACTGGTAAGATTCAAATCTCACCCTATGCCATTCTGGAGAACTGGTAAGATTCAAATCTCAACCATATCCCATTCTGGAGAACTGGTAAGATTCAAATCTCACCCTATGCCATTCTGGAGAA